AGGGTCGACAGTGATGATGGCTTACGGGGGGGGCTTACCATGGTACCATGCCGTGCTGCGGTCGGTTCGGTTAGGGAATTTCCTGGTCGTTGATTCTGTTGGCCGGACGATTCACGACAGGGCCACTCTTTCTCCCTCTTCTCCTTTCTTGGGGGGTTACGGCACGCGCACGGGGTTTCGAATCTCATTCGTTCCCGGCTTGATGAACGATCCTGTCGTTGTGGTTAACACATGAAGGCTTGAGGGGGGTGGCTCTGGGTTGGTAGCCTCCGCGGACTTTTGAAATCAGCAGTTTTCAGGGAAACAGGTACCCTTTTGAGAGAGAGACAGAGCTCTTCTACAATACGTAGTATCATTGGTCCAGAGATTCTAACGGGACACCACTCGTTCTACGGATATCATGAGCGGCGAAGTGGGAATCACTACTCGTAGGCTCTCTCAGTTGCCATAAATTTATTATGGTGTGGATGATGGATAATAAGCCATGTCCAAGAAATGGTTTCTCGGATTCCCAAGGGGGTAACCAAATTGTGTGTTTTTCTTCTTCCTATGACCCACCGTTTCTCAAGAGGCGAGATGCGAGGCGGTGGGAGGATCCCTCTCACTTGCTACACCCATAGTATCGTTCTGGCGCCCGGGGGGGGTTCGTCATTGATCTTAGGATTAATAGGAGGGATGAACAGGTTTTGTCGTGGTGAAACGTTAATGTTACTGCGGTCTTTTATGCTAGCTGAACCTTGTATTGAGTTGGAGTATCGTTACAAGGACAAGAATGTACCATACAATACCGTCATGCGGGATCACATCGAGCAAGTCTGATATCCAGCAATGCATGATGTATGGTTTGTATGATACGTAATCAGCAAGGTGGACTTTCTTGGCTTGGCTTGGTGTTGATGCTCAAGTTGCGGGATGGGCTTGACGGAGAGCAGCAGCAGCCCACTGCGTATGTCGGTAGGTGGTTAACCATGATCCGGATTGGGAAGCCTACGGTAGATGAATAGTAAGAATCTCGACTGTACCGTACTGTACTGTGCTACGGCACAGATCTGATGCCGGGGGTTACTGTAACGGCGGACGGACGTTTTAATTTAAATCAAGCTTACCGATACCGTCCACAAATACCCTTGCATTAGATTACAAGTAAGGCACCAGCACAATTAACGCCGCCAACTTAAAACCTCCAATATTTCGACCAATGACGTGCCATAGAGCAGCCCAAGCGTATTTATAGCCCCCAAGAATGTGACTATAATACGGTACAATAGTAGTAACCCGCCGAGTTTCCTACCGTACAATACTGTGCTGCGCTCGAGTACCGTACCGTGCTAGCACATCACCAGTCAGGCCGCAAGGCACGGATCATCTCATCAGGAATACTTCCCATTACGAAGTGGAAAGTGAGGAATCACCGTACGAGTACTAGTACTGTGCTCTGCGCTACTTGTACCACCTGACCAAACTAAGCTTCCCGAACCACCGTACCGTACCGTACTGTGCTGTTAACTCTCCACCGCCGGAAATCACGGAATTTACGAAAAAAAAAAAATCACCCCTTACACTGGAATTGCCGTTTTTTATGCTTTTGTCCTCCCTCCCCCCCCCCCACTCTCATCTCAATCCCGAGTTACCGCTTGGGTACAGTACAGTACTCGTGCGACGGGGGAAGCCAGAAGCAAGCTGGCGGGCCGGGGGTCTCATCCTACTGTAACCCGGGTCCCAATCGGATGGTACAATTCACACGATATACTCACTCACACGTCTCGGGTATTCTCGGCGGTTGGTGGGGGTACGGGATTCACCTTTAGATTAGGGTTGAGTTGAGCTGAGCTGACTCGATACTGCCGGTATCCCGCCCAACAAAGCCAACGTTTCCCCCCCCCACCCCCGGCTTGCCACGCTACCGTATCCTGCACTGTATAAGCAATTGCGGGAAAGGGTTAGCTCCGTTATCCTGTTTCCTATTGCTTGAAACTAGTTGTGCTAATACGGTACTTGTACGGTACTGCAGTACCGGTACTAGCCACTAGTACAACGCCCCCCAACGGCCCGCAGGCGGAAGCTAGACCATAGGTAGCGCTACCCACCATCTCATGACACCACTCCTTATCTCCAGGTTCTGGGACAGAGGCTCCTGAGAAGGAATTAGCATTCCCCTGATACAGTATAGGAGTAGCCTATAGGATACGTTGGAACTTGTCGACCGGTATTTGCAATTCTGCTATCCCGTCAAATCTAAGCCCTCTCAGGATCCTCGACCTGGGGATCCGGAGATCTAAGCACTGTCAGAGGTAGCGGTAGGGTAAAACAAAAAAAAAAAAAAAAAAAAGGAAAAAGAAGCTTAGGGCCTGTTTGGATGAAATGGTCCCACTCCGTTGGCCCATACAAATGACCATTTCCTTCCTTTTCGAAGAGGCTGTTGCCAAAAGGCTGTTTGGCACACCTGCTATCAACCTTTCTGTTTCTATGGTTGACTGTTAGCAACAACCTTTTCCACCAGTCAAACCATTTCACAACGGAATGGTTGCCACTTCTTCCTATTTTACCAAACAGGCCTTTAGCTATTACCGGTGTTTGTTGATTAGATTAGAAAGATATCGTAAAGCACTATTTGGAGCATTTGACTCAGGCCAACCCCCTGCTGTGAGGCACTGTACCGTACCGTTAACCTGCACTATGATAGTACCCGAGTACCAGTATAGCTGCCTGAATATAGTATCATACCATACCGTACCGTACCAGCACAGTGCATGACCAGACGAGGGGGCGGTCGAAGCTCCGTTGACCCTGTTCTGTGTTACGCCGGGTATTACATGATACTCTGCGGGTTCTCTCGCGGCAGACGTACAGTTGTTGTAGTACGTAGGGCAACTGTACCGCTCCTTTGCTGTGTTGGCGCTTCCATTCTATTGTATTATTATTTTTTGTCACTGTCACGGCATAGCACTTTTGTTTCCCGAATTGCATCATATCATAGGAACATTGACTCGGTTCCCTATTTCCAATGTGCAATTCTGCGGAACGGGTGATAATGATAATGTACAGTATAGCGGTAAATATTATCATATCTACTTGTACAATATTATGCTTTATCTAGCGCAGATTTTTAACAAAGTTTCCTTTCCTCTGTGGGTTTCCGGGCGGCGGCCCTGCGTGTAGAGTAGTGTACCGTACAGTACAGTACTCGTACCGTACGCTTGCTGAATAGGGTCGCTTATCAAGCGGTCCGTCATTTCCTATAATAACCCGGCAGCAAACACGCGTCTCTGCTTCCCGATCGGGAAGAGTGCTGCCAAGATATTATTTGCAACAAGTTGGCCTTATACCTAGTTGGGTTGGCTGCTCCGTATGATGCAGACTTGAAATCAGCCTTGCTCCTGCTCAGGTTGATATTTTCAAAGCTCCCTCTGCAGATCTGTGGAGGTGGATTGAATATACCGGTATTTGCATAAGACCTTGAGTGTTAGGGTTGCGGTTGCTCAGCCCCATAGGTTTGGTTTGAGGTTGGCGAAATTCCGGGTGTCGATCCGCAAGAGGCTGGGAGTATACCGTATTGAAGGGAAGGCAGCGTCTACTCATAATAGTTACATCTAATACGGTGACCGTTTACGAGAAGGGCTTATTGTGCATGTTGTTCTCCCCGACATTCGGTTCCTACTGTCTTATACCCATCCAGTCACAGGCGTAATTCTAGCAGTTAAGACCTATCCAAGCGATGGCCGAGGTTGAATTTTTTTGTCGAGTCGTTGCATGGCTTGGAGTTCTCTGTAGCACAGTTGTGGTCTGCTTTTTCTTTTCTTTTTTTATTGTGGTGATCTCCTCAGGCTCAACATCACAGCTGCAGCGGGTCCCCGATACGGCTCTGCGTGTAGCGTACTCATGAATTCACACCGTGGGGCCAAAGGGTTTTTGTTCACTGAGTAGATATGATAGACATGCTGGGTATATATTGTGTAAAGGTGCTCTGCATTTTAACCCCTCTTTTTATGGAGGATTTTTTTCTTTTCCTGAACGGGTACAGTACAAGTACGAGTACAATGTAGTATCCCCAATTTTCGTTCAGCATTGATTTATTCATTCACGGAGTAGGCTAGTCAGGTATGTATGACACTCTCACCCTGCACGCTGTTACAAGAAGGAGCAACCGGATGGAGAAAGTTTATAACATGTGTATTTGAATAGATTTTCTTTCTTTCATCCCAATCACCTTTCCTCTCGGGTACGGTACGATAGTCGATAGGAGTACGGTGGATCGACAGACCAGACTGGATTACCTTTCGCTTCCCAGCTCTCGCTTGCTTGCTTAACTCTCACCTTTGTAATTCTGACCTCTAAGGGTTCGAGCGATCCTAGAGGCCATCGATTCTCATCGGTTATTAATCAACAACTAGCCAAAATTCAGCCCTATACGCTATCCTCAAGTCCCCTTCGCAACCGGTGCAATTCTCGCCCCACGAACAGGATGAGTCTCAGCCCGCAGTCTCGCAACTCGAATAATTTGCAACAGGACGACTCTTCGGGTCAGGCACGTATCTCCTGAGCATACACGAGACCTACTCACTCGGTCGGTAAGAGTCTCAAGGCTAACTCGGAACTGGGATGTATACAGGGAGAGCGACACTCTGCGAGGAATCCTGCGTGCGATTTGTGTCGTGAAAAGAAGGTATGCCACCACCAATCCCTCCTATGCACCCCCGCTACACACCCCGCACTGCCCCGGAGGAATAATCTACAGGTAGAAGAAGCTTATCGGAGAACCGTGAGGGCAAAGGTGCGATGCGGCCGCGAAAAACCCACCTGCCAGAACTGCCGAACGTGGAAGACGGCGTGCACCTATTCCGAGCGGCAGAAACGCGATAATGAGGCTTCCCGCACGTTGAGTTTCTCCCTTCTTTCGCTATGTGCACAAAGGAGGGCGACCCGGGGCTAACTGAGCTTGTGGGCGCAGTGCGCACCGTTTCGAAGAGGTGCACGACCGCCTGGACCGTATAGAAACCACAATGGCACGGTTGGTCGCTGCGCTTGAGTCCTCGAACTTGGCATCTGCACCTCCGCCAGCGTTCACTACAAAGACTATAATTTCGAGCCACCTCTCTCAATCACAATCCGGCCCTGGGACACCACAGACGCCACAGTCGAATAGCGGTGGTCTACTTGCTACGACGTACAAGATACCCGTACGGCGGGAGGTGCAGTACCTCGGCCCTTCATCCCTGATGACACTATCTTCGGAAGCTGGATCCCTTGCGGAGGAGCAGTTGCGGCTTAGTTCACCGCATCCGGACGGCGAGGCAAGCAGTGGTGTGCACCATCAACGCGGGACAAGAGATTCCGCGAGCATGTGTACGGCTGGGAATATTGGGGCCTCGGTAGAGAGTATGTTATCACGCCCGGAGCAGGCGGAGACTGTGGGCGCACTGAGGAAGCTCAGCTCTATATCTACCAATGTTGCATCCTGGTTTCCGTACTACGGGCACCGGGAGTTGAGGGCGGGAGCTGGGGGTGCGAATATGGGAATTCCCCCGAGGGACGTTGCCGAGGACCTTGTTGCTGGTATTTCCTTTTTCTGTTCCTCATCGGAGGACGCTCTGGCTGATTGGATGACAGAATACTTTAAGACTGTTCACGTTTGGTTCCCCATGTTCGAGCAGACACGGTTTGAAGAGGATCTGAATCGGTTCTACGAAGGGGATAGAAAGCTCACCGAAGATCGTGCGTGGCTGGTCTGCTTCAACAACGTGATGTTGTTTGGAATGTATAATAAGTGCACCTCACGAAAGGATGTTGATGCGACCATGGGACAGGGTTTCTTCCTCAATGCCTGGGCAGCGATAGATGACCTGGAGGTGTTCATGGCACCAAGGTTGCGGAATGTGCAGGCTCTCACTACTGGGGTGAGTATGCTACCGCACTTGTTATGTAGGCATCCGTGTTAACCGGTTTCAGGCTGTGGTTGCGATAGAGGTGTCCCGCCCGGGTCTCTGTTGGTCATTGGTGTCCGGTGCTGCAAGGCTCGCAACAGCGATTGGCCTGCACCGCCGCCCTCCGTCGCCCTGTCCGTTCTCCAAAGTAGAGTTAGAAGAGCGAAAGGCAATTTTCTGGAACGTGTACATCCTGGACAAGTGCCTATCCTTAACGTTCGGACGATCGACCAGCCTTCCAGACTTTGATTGCGATACCGAGCTGCCCGAGGGCGATGGGAAGGCAGGATACTTTCTGAACTTTATCGCCTTGATCAAATTAGCCAAAATCCAAAGCAACATATACATGCGTTTGTACTCCGCGGCGGCAACACGACAGGAGACAGCGGAGAAGGAGAAAGCGATATTGGAATTGGATTTGGAACTGCGTGCCTGGTGGACTCAATCTCGGGCGGTATTTGACACCGCCGGATCCTCGGACGGGGCGGTGAGCGAGAACGGACCGTCCGCGCCGTTAGCTATCTTCTCGAGACTGGAGTTGAAATTTAGCTACCTCTGCAGCCTCACCCTCGTCCACCGCATGGCACGCCCAGACATGGCAATCTGGGCGAAAAGTGACAACCTCTGCCTAGAGAGCGCAAGAGACAGCATCCGCATCATAAACGACGTTGTGGAATGTAATCTCGACGTGGCCAATAGCGGAATGATAATCTGGTACCCCCCCCACCTCCCCCTTTTGACCGTCCCCCACCCTGATCTAATTATTAATTGCACCAGGCTCTTCCAGTACTACCCCTTCACATCCTTTTTCATCCTATTCTCCGCCGTGATTAGAAATCCCACCGCTGCGACATCAAAAACCGTTGACTTCCAATTGATGAAGAGCCTGGTCTCCTACCTCTCCCGCATGCAGGAAAAGTCCGAAGGCGCGGCAAAGTTGCTGCAGATCGCTTCGGCATTCACTCATGTAGCGGGGACCTTTTTAAAAAACTACGGAAAGTTAGAGCTCGCGCGGGAACACGCAGGGAAGCGAAAGCGCACCTCGGCGAGGGAAGACATACCCAGCATCTCACCACCACACCAGTACCACCGCCACGGCGCAGGAGAAGAGGCCTGGCTGGAGCCCGGTGGCCGTGACAACACCCACGCCTTCCGCGAAGCTTTCGGGAAAGGTTTCTACGGCACAGCGGGCTTCCCATCCGAGTCTGTCGAGCAGGTATTTCCTGCCCCACCCCAGCCATCACAACCCATCCCTTCCCACTCGCGCTCGCACTCAAACTCAAACACCGAATCCCCACCATTGGGCCTGGATGATTTACCGACTGTGGACCTCCACGCCGCAAACTTCCTCCGCTGGCCCTCGACTGACGGAATGAACTATGAACCTGCTGCCACCCCCGCTGCGGCGCCGTATCCGGACCATGCATTCTCCTCCGCGCCGGAGACTAGCGCTGCGCCTGCTGCGTTCGACTTGGACCTTGAAACGCTCATGGCGGAGCCCGAGGGGTTTCAATTGCAGATGGAGCAGGCCGCTATGAGGGGTCCGTTGGACTTTGACTGGTTTAGTTGGGATGGGCAATTTAGTTGATTTTTTTGATTTTTTTTTGCATTCTTCTTGGTGTTTATTAGGGGGATTGGTGGGAGGGCTTGAGTTGATAATGTGTTGTCGTGGGTACCTCTCGAAAGTCCGGGCCGAGAAAGACCGGGGGACCGGAGGCCGGACGCGGGCTTGGCAGTGGGGTGTAATGTGCACTCCGTATCTATCATGCACGTGTACAGTCACTCGGTAGAAAGCCCCGGTGGAACGGACTTCCTCTTTGACGGAAATTTCAGATTATGATGGCCAAGGGGAAGAGGCATGAGTGGTGCACAATTGGGGTCTGTCTATCTGTGTGGTGGGGGGGGGGGGGGAGAAGCCCATTGAGCATCCAAGCAGGAACACAATTCATTTTCACCAAGGCTCTCGCCGAGTGGGCTTAGCCCACATCTTAGTGGATAGGACTGCTCTCGGCCCATATATTTCTCCTTGGTCACTTTTTGCATTTCTACCAGCGTTCTGTTTCCCTCATGTTTCACCTGAAAATCTGCAATAGATGTTTTTGGTATTTTGCTCGTTTTTTTTTTTCTTTTTTCCTTTTGTCACTTGTATGTGCAGCATTTGTGGCAGGGCAGTGAGGTTCGTATCGACCCAACACGTTGCCCGTACTCGTACAACACTCTACTATACTAGTGCCAGTACTGTACTGTACAGTACCATGTCCGGGTGGGCTTGGGCATTTATTACTCGGTTTCGGAAATCCCGGACGGTGCGTGTGTGAGTTATGCGATGTAGCTAGAGTTCGTATTGTACAAGTAGTGTGAAGTGGAACTGGCGATGAAAAGTTCTCGGTCACTGCCGGGCCGGGTGTTGTGTAAAAAAATTATAGTGGCATATCGTAAAAAGTGGTGACTTGGCTTGCGATCACGAGCTTGCTACGGTACCCCTACTCGCGGATCTAGAGTACTGTACCGGGAATGGGAAATTCGTAATCTTGCCTGGCACCCCCTCCACCACACGTAAAGCGGAAATGCCAGGGCTTCCTGGTGCCCATCAGACTAAGAGGTGTTGCTTGTACTGTACGGGTACTTGTGGATACCGGTGGGAGAGTAACTCGGCCAAAACAAAACAAAAAAACAAAAAAAAGAGAGGGAATGCGGAAATCTCGATTCCCTTTCAGCGATGCTCCCAATACTGTACTTGCCCCTCTCAAAAGTATCCGGAAATCGGACTTGGCTTGGCGGCTATCGTCCTCTTCGGTTCAACTATGATATGTACTCAAATACAAGTAAAAGAATCAGGACGGTAAATTAGGGCAAATGCTCGAGGAGCACTGTCAGAGGTTCTGCCGCATTTTTTTCTACTCACTCTGGCACCCGATGGGGGGAGGGAAATAATGCGGTCGCCCGTGCTGCCAAGCCATTTACCCGATTTCCGGATACTTTTGAGAACGGCAGGTAGTCTCTTATGATAGACCCATACCTTTTTTATAATTTTATCTTTTCACTCCCTTTACCGGTATTTTCCTTTCCCACGTGTAAATTGTCCACCCCCGGCATTCTAGAAAGTTCCCTGGTGAAAAAGGGTCGGTGGTACAGTACATGTACATGTACAGTACCGGTACTCGGGTACAAGTATTTTGGTATGGTACGGGGATCTTTTGCTGGTGTTACAGTGCCAGTACAAGTACATAAATTTGTGGGCGGCTGTTTAGTCAGGCAGATGGCTAAATTTAACCATGGTATCCCTTCTCGTCGGGCCAACGGAAGGAAAGGAAAGCTGGTTGTGGTATGTTCTGTAGGACAGTACTACGCGTATAATGTTGTATCAGAATACATCCGAGACGAGTCACGGGCAAGCAGCTGAATGTGCGAATGCCCCCCTTGAGAATTTCCGCTACGGAGAGGACAAGGCATTATTCGGTGCGGGGCTGGAGGTCTGTTAGCAGAGATCGCAACAGGGAGTGGGCCATGATCTGTGGTTCAATTCGTTCCTATGACGGTTTCTTGCGCGGGCATTTAGCGGGAGGGTCGGGACCGGTTCCAATTTGTTCTTCTAACGTCTTGGAGCTTGGGGTAGACTTATCATACCGGCATGTCTCCAGGAGGTATGATACCCCCCCCGCAGCTGCCCGGCACGATATGGCAATCCTCTGATATTCACAATTAGATGATACCAATACAGCAGAACAAAGACTATATTAATGTCTTTCTAGTCACGTGGAGCGCGCAGGAGGTCCTCGAGTGGCAGCTGGTCTGGGTTGTGGGGCATGAGGAACGGTGATGGAAATCCAAAAATACTTTCTCTGCCAGGCGGGTATTCCCGGCCCCTCCGTGGCCTCTATTTCCATAGCTTGCAACTTTGCCAGCTCTGGTTAGTCACGTGTTGGCATCCCGCGGTTTCCTATGCACCTCATCGGTGCCTCGTAGTCCCCAGTTGACTCCTGTTTCACAAGTCAAGTCTCTTCGGGCTCTCTTAGTAACCCCCAGCCACATTGTTACCGTATTTTCCCCGTGCACATCTCCCCCAACTGTTTACGAACAAACTCCCAGCCCTTTTTTATCTTTCTCTCTCGCGGGCCTTTCTTTTCCCCCTGGCCAAGGGCAGCAAACGAAGCCCCAATCCTCCTCCCCCTGCATCGAACACTACCGTTAACGTACAGGGGTCATGAGATATGGTTCGATGCCAACTTCCGGGGGATCACCTCTAGTGACTGCTGCACCACTGCGGCGCCTAGAGGCGTTGGCTGACTAAGCCTTTAGGAATTAGTGCTGAAACAGATCAATCAATAGTCTTTGCTCCGCATTCTGTACCTTACTGGGTTCCTGTAGATCTTTATTAGGAGTTTGCAGAGTTTACCGGGGACCCTTACATAGGATTGATTGACTGCTGGCGGTTGGTTGGTTGCTAGGGATTAGACGGAATCCCATATCCTGGGTCTTCTCCGATGGCTCTACCCGGTACTTACTCTAGTGATCGTATGACATATGATATCATAGTACTATATAGAAGTTGAAAGCAATATCTACCCTAAACAATTGGAGATCCCCCTTAAAAATATTCCCTGACAATGTCATGATACTTGCATATTTCTAGCATTCCCGGATGCGGAACCCAGCGGGGTGCTGTCCCGCCTCCCCCACTAGGGTAGCGAAAAAAGAAAAACAAACACACAGTTTATTGGAAATTTCTCATGTGGCGGGTTCCTCACTCAGGTGGGAAATTGGATTCCTAACATCACCTGTTCGTAAATCACTCACCAATTGCTATCAGGACCGGCCGGTAGCCGCCTCCCTTTTTTAGGCTTTGGGAGAGATACCCTCTGCTCAAGGGATTTCGTATCGGGACTGCAGATCCTGTATTCCCGTGTTTTTAATATCTGACTTGGCCGGCGGTACGCTCATTGATCGGTGAACAAACCTACTCCCCCTTTTTGGAACTTCCCTTAGAAGCTTGTCTCCTGTGCTCGCTATCCCCCTGTAGCACCACCAATCAATCTTTAGTCTTTTGAAACACGCCTCTAAGATGGGGGAGGGGAGGGGTGGCAAACCTTTTCCAATACCTAAACCTAAAATCGCTGTTCATCGGACGTTTTAATATCAGACTACATACCTCCGCTCGGCAGGGGGAATTGCCAGCCTTCTCTATTAGCGTAGTACATTATTGGCCGGCTCATAAACTATCAGGCCATCAGAATTGATCGGTTTAAAATCTTTCCCCAGAGTTTTTGGCTGTGATCCTGGTTTTTCAGAGGGGTGACAAATTATCTAGTATTGATCATTTTTAGTTGGCACTACTCTCACAACCTAGAACGCTGATGCTTATAGAAAGAAAAAAGTAAAATCAAGAATGGATTCCGGGTTTTTGGGGTATAAAGTTTGTCAGATTCTGTGCTGGGTTACGCGCATGTATGAATGAATGAATGTCTTCGAGTACAGTTACTCTTGTATCCGCATTTCTACAAGATCCCCCGGCAGCAGTTATATCTTCGGGGCATGGCCTCGATCTGCGATAGCTAGTCAGCTAGTCGTTGACGGCCAGACCTTCTAGGCACGGGCTGGCTGACTGAGTGACTACCCAATTATGAATGCTAGTATGTCGTATCCTCCGTAGCCTTAGTGTAACTGATGTCCGGCAATCATAGTTAGAGAGCCAATATGAAAGTCTCCTGGAGCATTTATCCACACTTCCTCAATACCACTGACCGGTACCTATTGAACGCGGAGAAACTGGGCAGTCATATTCACTGCTGCGGGGGGACACAGTGCCTTGTCACCCCATAGATTTACCCCAAGACATGCCAATTCCACTCCCCTCCTCTCCTCCTCAGGATTTGATCCGTAACTCAGCCCCCACTACAACTCCGAAGCCAATGGCCTCCTAGCAGGGTGAATGTTATCATAGGTTGGCCTGAACCTCACTTGTGAGTGCTATGACCGCCCAACAGAGTTCCTTAACCTGACTCATCGGCAATCTACATCATGTCCCCGAACCTTCTTCCAGGTAACCCGATCGCTATCATTACAGGAGCGGGCGGGACGCCACTCCAGATCTCTACATAATCACCCTCCGGGAAGCCAGTCCTTCAAATCACGCCATTCCATGGGTAGAACCCGGAATTTGACTGGAGCTAAGCTCCAGGAATCGGCTCACTTTCCCCTGAATAAAGTAAAACAAAATATATCCGTCTATTCATACCGGGTGATATTGCCACCTACGGATAGGTTCCAGGTTCTCTAGGCTGGGTTCTCGTTTTTCTCCTTTGTTTTTTTTCTTTGCGTCGTGAGAAACTGTCCGTGTTTGAAGAAGGGGCATTGAAGCCTAATGAAAGAACTAAAGGATGGAGCGATGGATGAAAGCAGAATCACCATAAGGCAAGAACACCTGAATATAGAAAGGTGGTGAGCTAGGCTATTGATGGAGATGCTTGCTAAGGGCAGATAAAGGGAGGGAGGGAGGGGTGTCACTGTATAGCCAACAACTCTAGGGACCAAATGAAGCATGACAAACCCTAAAGAAGCACGTTCCTCAGCAATCCCAAACCACCCAGA